TTTGAAAAGTCAAAAATACTAGTAAACATCAATAAAAACTCATATTCCAACATATCATTCAAAAACCGATTTCGTTCAATCTCAAATATTTCACTAATCACTTAGTTTTAATCTTCCTTGAACTTTCCTTAAGCTTCTATATCACTTAAGGTTTCAAAACTTGTCCATAAACTAACTCAAAGAAAACTTACCTTGGCTATGGGGAGAGCACGTGAACACGGGAAGAAGAAGAAGAAGAGATGACTTATTTTAGTTTTAACTTCCCCTTTTTCTCTTCTTAATTCCTAATAAAAATGAATTTTAAATTAATTGGTCTTAAACACTATTTCTAACTCAATTATTATCCATTATGAGTTATTCAAATTAATCCTCTAATTTTAAATCTTTTCAATAAAGTCACTGACCTGATATTTTGGGTATTACACTTATCTTGATTTCCCTCGCTTCATCGGTTTCTTTATGAGTGACTTGGAGCTTATCCCATATCTCCTTAGCATTACAACAAGAGGAGACTCTTCCATATTCATCCAGGCCTAATGCACAAAAGAGAATGTGCATAGCCTTAGCATTGAGTTGAAACTTCTTCTTCTCTCTATCACTCTAATCGTCCACCTCGCCGGTTGGAATGGTGTATCCTTTCATGATTGAGTTCCAAGCTCCTAGATCATTGGCTTGGATGAAGAGCATCATCCTATTCTTCCAATAGGCATAATTTGCTCCATTGAAGTAGGGTGGCTTGTTGACCGGTTGTGAATCTTCAATGTAATAGGCACCTGTAACACCTATTTCCCGTATACATTTCCGTACACAAGTCATAGGTTTCACATGACTTTTAGAAACATTCACCCATTTGTAAAACCCATAAAATTTTATTTGAATTTTTAAAACCAAAAACATTTTAATACCACAATAAAACAGTCGTTGAAACCTATTACCAGAGTTATCATTTTAAATTCATTCTATAGCAAATTGTTTTACTTTTGATTACATGCCAACAATTTTTCAAAATAAACCTGATTGTCCTACTGTTACTGATGAGGGTCAACCTTAGATTGATCATAGCTGCTACTGCTCCCAGTACCTGACTAGTGTTAGCTATAACTACGCGTGAAATCAACACACGTTAAGTATATACTTAGTGAGGCATAATATTGTAAAAAACATTAATATATACATAAGTATATTTTTGGTTATTTGGTTTTGAACTAATTCGTATCATCCATAAGGATTCGATAAGTCCCTATTATTTAAATCAAATTTCTTTCATACTATCATCGTTAACATTCTTGGTATTTCCAACATACTTTTCTTTCTGTACATTTTTACTATTATTATTTAGTAATTATTCATTATTTTCATTTAGGGCATCATTTCATGCCTTTAATGCACCGTGGCATCCTTTTATGCTTTTGATGCACCGTTATGCACTTCATTTAGTTTTTATTTTAGAATAGTTTATACTCTAATAATTATTCATAATATCAATTAACTCTTTCAGTTCATTATAAACTCTATAGTTTGCACACGTAGTGCCCATATGGAAATTCATAAACTTATTATGAATTTATTAGTTTTTACACACACAGTGCCCATACGGACATTCATAAACTTATTATGAATTGCTTAGTTTTTGCACACACAGTGCCCATACGATCATTCATAAACATATGATGAATTCCATGGGTTTCACACGTAGTGCCGAAACGGTTGTTCATCAACATATGATGAATTTCGTGGGTTACACACATAGTACCGAAACAGTTGTTCATTAACATATGATGAATTACTTGGGTTCCACACATAGTGTCGAAACGGTTGTTCATCAAAATATTATGAATTCCTTGGGTTACACACATAGTGCCGAAACGGTTGTTCATCAACATATGATGAATTTCGTGAGTTACACACATAGTACCGAAATGGTTGTTCATCAATATATGATGAATTCTGTGGGTTGCACACATAGTGCCGAAACGGTTGTTCATCAACATATGATGAATTCTGTGGGTTGCACACATAGTGCCGAAACGATTGTTCATCAACATATAATGAATTCCATGGGTTGCACACATAGTGCCCATACGAAAATTCATAAACTTATTATGAATTTCTTAGTTTTGAACACACGGTTCCATTTGGTAATCACCATACATATATTAAGAAATCGTACATTTATGACTATCATCACATATAGGTACATAATAAATGCACTCACCTGACTTGCCTCGCAATTCTATCCAAAACGAAATTTGACTACTCAGCTACTTTATCTTTGCCTTTCGTTTTGCTTGACTCGGGAGTTTGATTACGATCTACACAAGCATTCATTAAAGACATATACCATACTAAATGTTAGTATATTCCCTAACATTTATACTATAATAATATTCACAAATACTATTATTTAAATTTTTATAACAATTTTGGCTTATCTTATAATTTCTGTCTCAATAGTATCGATACCCCTACCATGGTATCGATACTTCTATATTGTCGTACCAATACTCCTTTACAATATCGATACCATTTCTGCATTCTGTAATCAATGGTATCGATACCATCTATATAGTATCGATACCCCCCTCTCAGTATCGATACCAATTGCATCATTATCGATACTGTTCAGCTGATTCTTCCAATTTTAAGCCTATAGTATCGGTACTTTTCTATTAGTACCGATACCCTTACTTGGATTTTCCAATTTTCAGCCCGATTCTTACCCAAATTTGGTCAAAATTCCTTATATTTACACCCAACAATACTATTAAAACTCTTCTTTATTTATCCTTACTAACTTTCCTTCATTTAGCTTTTAAAAACATCAAAAATCTCCCAAGAACATTTTAATCTAAGAATCACACAACTTTTCTAACATGTTTTTAAACTCATCCATTACTTCTAATCTGTCACTTACTTCATTGACAAGTCAAATATACTGGTAAAAATCAATAAAAACTCATATCTTAACATCTCATTCCAAAACTCATTTTCTAAAATCTCCAATATTTCATCCAACTCCTAGTTTTAACCTTATTTAACCCTTCATGAAGCTTACATACAAATTAAGGTTGTAATAACAAACCATAATCGAAAGGAAAAACTAGTTAGATGAGATTTACCTTGGCTATGGAGGAGGCACAAAGTCATAGGAGGAAGAAGAAGAGAAATAACTTAACCATATTTCTTTTTAACTTTCCCCTTATTAAATCCCTATTAAAATTTGAGTTTTAAAATTTATTTTATTCCAAATGACCAAAATACCCTTTTAACCATTAATTGTTACAATTTAGTCTAAACCACTATTCCAAATCATTGTTCTCATCTTTTATCATTTATTCAAATAAATCCTCAACTTTTAAAACTTTTCATTAAAGTCACTGACCTGATATCTGGGGTATTATAGCACCAGAAGTTGAAGCTATCTCTGTGTCGATTGCTTCGGGAATCGGTAGAGCTTCTTCGAGGATCGTATCAAGGATGTGAAGCATTCTAACGAGTCAAGCTCTGATACCAATTGTTAGGATTTATGAATCTTAATTGAACAACCGAAAAAATTGCAAGAGGGGTGAATTGCCAAAAACAATTTAAGGAGTAAGGAGAAAAAAAGATAGAAACTTTTGCATAATGATTTATAGTGGTTCGACTTCTCAACTAAGTCTACCTCCACTACCTTAGCTCCTCACTAGTGATTTTCCAACAAATCCACTAATTTGTTCTTTTTTTTCAAGAATCAAGAGTAACCTTTATACTCCATAGTTTTTCACTTGGCTAAAATATAACCAATCCCCTTTACAAAAAGGTAAAAAGAAGTAAAAAAATAAATTCTTTACAAGGTAGGGTGTTTACAAAATTAAGGCTCACAAGAACAAAATATTTACAAGTGAATATGAATAAAGAGTGAAAAGCCATTCTCTTGTGTTTGATTTCTTGAATATGTGTTCTAACCATTTTTCAAGTGTCTTGAACTAGTATTTATATGTTGGAATGAAGTTGTGGCCATTTATAGCCGTTGGGAGTGTTTTGGAGCCGTTTGTGATGTTTTTCTCTACAAAATAAAACTGCCCAGAATAGAATCGGTATTCCTATAAGGAGTATCAATACTACCTTTCTTATTTTTAAAGCAACTAGTCGTTACTAGCCGTTGGGGCCTGATGGTATCGATACTAGTATGTAAAGTAGTATCGGTTCCCCTTTGGGTATCGGTACCATTTTTGCATTCTGGAATTTGAACAATGCTGGTAGTATCGATACTACCTATTAAGTATCAATACTTCCCTTACCTTTGGTATCGGTATCATATGAACAATATTGATATTGTTCATGAGGTATCGATACTGTAAGAACAGTATTGGTTCTTCTTGTACGTGAAAATTAGTTTTGTGCTCAAATTCACTTTTAAGGACTTTGAATTATTTTTGAAAACTTTGAATAAATTCAATAAGTCCAAAAATATTTGCCTTAAATTGTTATATCAAAACATTATAAAAAGTGGTTCAATATATATATTGTTCATTTGTCTGTAAGAGTGACAGAAACAATGCATGAAACCACAACCTTCTCCATAGAAGAGCTGACCCAAAATAATACGCCAAAATAATTCCTCTACACGGGTTATTGATACTAACCCGTACCAAATATAATTTATGAATTAAGAGTATACCAAGAGCCAAGCAAGCGTTAGTTTAGGTAACTGTCGAGGTTTTGTTAGTTAGAGACGTGGTTGGGCTTTGTTGGGAGCGGTTTTTTGCGGTTTTATTTGTTGTTTTCTTTGGTTATGTATTGGTTTTTCTTGCCTTAATAGTTGCCTTAATAATTCCTCTACGGATGTTTTTTTAATGAGGCATTTAGTCTAGGTTGTGCTTAATCCTCTTTTATCAATAATATTATCTTTTGAAATAAAAAAGAGCCAAGCAAATTTTGATTTCAAGGCAGTTCAATTTTGCCCTCAAAGGCACAAGGCATTTTGACCATCATTTCAATAAACATAAACAAACACTAAATAATACTAAAAAAGGTGGCTCTCATGTTTGACTGCATTCCTTCAACATATTAAGCTCTTAAGCCTCATAAAATCTTACAATTTTGATTAAGAAATCAGTACTGGTTCAACAATCATTAGAATACACATCTGGATTTCGAATAAGACACGTTTATAAACGCCTTTTAAACCATTCATTCCACACGCCATTCATTTTCCTTCTTTCAAGATAGAGTTTAGAGATCGATAATTCAAAAGAAGCCATAAAATTTTGAAAGGACAGATGGCTAACTCCAGCCTGTTAATCCTAATCGGTCCGCAACATTATACATTACCAGTTGATCCCAGGTAGGACCGAAAAGTTGTTCTCCTCCTATGGCAAATGTCAGCACCCAAGAACACAAGAGAACTGAAAACACGGAAAACCCAATTGCTGACGCCACTACATCTGCAGAAATAAATTTTTATCATGACAAATGAACAATAATCCCAGACTACAAGAAAAAAAAGTAAAGAACATGGAAGAACAATAGTCAAGAGTACATTAAGATGCAAAACATTCAAAGTTGAGTACTAACATTCAAAATTTCAACATTCACTCAAAAGAAGAAAAAACATGCATAGGTTAAACAAGATCTACTATCAAGTGCACAAGGCTCACTCTTCGGTACAAAAACTCTTCTATCACCTAGGGCACAAAAACATAACCCGCTCAATCAGTAAAGTAAGGTGCACGCTCGCGCACCCACACACACATATAGTTCCCTCTTCTAATAGAGATTAGATTTTGTCCTCCTTTCACAAGATAACTAAAAATAGAATTAAAAAAGAAATCAAAGAGAGTTTTGTTAGAAGAGCTTTCTATGTGTTTGCCTAAAAAACTTGCAAGCAAGTACACAAGGCATGCACCTCATAACAAGCAACTCTTCTAGTTATTGATTGGTGCATGATGCTTATTTAGTGCTGCACCTTAGCATCAAGACACATGCCATAACAGCTTACTGGGGTGATTGAAACATTTCCCAACTTCTATTCTAGGAAAATAGTATTATACACACAAAAAATCTAGTAAGTATTGTATTTTTCAAAACAAAAACAAACCAAAGACAAAATTTGACAAAGCAATTCATGTGTCAAACTGTCAATACCAATTCCACATGATTCATATTCAAAAATTTATGTTTCACTGTTCATAAATGTGTCCGTCATAAGGATAGTCTTTTCAGTTACTTTTACCAACCAAACTGACCAAAAAAATCAGTAGTTATATAAGCCATATAGAGGAGTGAGCCAACAATCAACAATAAATATGAGAATTTTAGAAAGCCAACAGAAAAGATTTTTTAAGGAACCTTCTCAAAGGATTCATTGTCTGTCTACTAATACAGCTTTACACTGTAGAACCTATGCTGTTAACGTGTACTACCAAGGGCCAAGGAACATAGCCAGAAAATGATAAGATGCAGCACTTAACAGAAATTGCACCTTCCAAGCCTCAACGTGAGGTACCTTCGGAAACTCCATGCCTTGTGGTACCACAATTCTTAGAAGCAAATCAACTAAGCCTACCTCCTTGTCCCACAAATTAACTGGATGATGTACTTCATTCCCATACATGTACCACAAATTTACGTATTAAGTTCCTTGTAGCTATGGGCAATGCTGTATTGCAACAGTTCCTAGCTTCTCCACAGCATATAAGCCAAAAGGATGAAAGAGAAAAATGTTGTTTGGCAACACCAAATAATTTACCTATCTATCTTAGCAATGCCAAATGGTATGACTTTCGATTTTGCCTATTGATCATTACAATTGGGAAACCAAATTCTCAGCAAAATTCCAGATTGTGACGTTGAACCTCAAATAAGGCTATTGGATTCCAATGAAACTGTGTGAAAACTCTGATTTGGTTCCGAATAGACTCTGCAAAGGGACATAGCTACTGACTTGCAATTATGTAGGCCAAAGCCACTTAGATTAAAAACGCAAATGATTATTGAAGTCATAATTGTTCAATAGAAGAGTAAAATCATGTAAATTTGTTATTCAAAACACTGAATTTTAAATTTTAATTATTTAAAATTAAGTCAACCTTATTTCTTCTCATCCACATGAATCATATGATTTCCATATATTGATATGCCGTTAAGAAACTTAAACTAATATGCAGCTCAAGCATCAATAAATAATCAAGTCGCTAAATGCAAAATATCAACAAGAATTTGGAAAAGAAGTAGAGGGAATATCAGAAAATAAGAGTAATAAAGGATAATTACAGGGGCGAAGTCGAGGAAAGGAGCGAGAGTGACGGAGAACGGGCCAGAAATAGAAGCAATTAACGGCCCAAAGCAGAGGAAGAAGCGCATAGCCGAACTTGTAGAACCTCCGAGCGTAGGATAACGATTCTTCCTCCGACAGGCCCAAGGGACCGTCGATTGTGGGCCACACCGGCGTAGATGACAGTATCGAATTGCTATTGTTTGGGTAATTATTGTTAGGGTTTTGATTTTGCTGTGTGTTCGTTGATTCCGGTGACTGTGAGGCTTCCATTTTCGATCTACTATTCCGATACGATGTCCTTGAGAGCTCAAACGCTGTGCCTTGCTTTCGGGAGAAGACAAGACCCACTCCCCTTTTCGGTTTTCTATTCCAAACAAAACGTGAAGGGTAAATCGTAAATGGTCACTCAACGTTTATTGTACTCTCATTTTGGTCAATATAAAGTACAAGGATGGTCACCCAAGTTGACGGTCACTTATTTTGGCCATTCAACTTTAAGTGGTTTCAATTTCATCATAAAATTTTATTTTGTAGTCACTCACCCTTAAATGATGGGAATGTGTCCTTTATTTTAATTGGTATAACAATACATTTAATCATTAATATTTATCATTCTATTAAAATTGCCTTAGTTGTAAATAAATAAAAAATTTAACTCTCCATATCTATAACGTCTATCACCTTAGTCATGATCCTAAATAAATACATAAAAGTTAAAAAAAATGCATAAAACTACTAAAATCTTCACAAATTCAGGAAAAAATAAATTTAACCAACATAGAAATTCAAGAAAACCAACGTCATGACATTTTAAGAAGTTCAAAAGGGGTTATCATTGGATGAGAGCTTTTCATGATAAGTCATCAGAGTATTTCATATATGTCTTGTTGCATTCCTTAAAGAAAAACACCAATGAGTTACTTTGATTGGTTTGTGTTGCGCTTGTCCGTCAGTTTCTTCATGAGAAGCTAACATCTTGCAGTTTTCAATTATGGGACCAAAGTTCAAGCATCTAATTTCTCAAGAATTGCCTCTGAATAAGAAACAAGACTTACGTTGTTAAGTTAGCCAGGATTCAAAATGCGGTTCCGTTTCACTTATCATGATTGTGGACATAACATACGCTTTTACGTTGATTGTGGATATCAGGGTCATACAATAACAATAACATACAGCATCCCTACCGCTATATAGTGGACGCTATTACGATAATGGACCGCTATTTAAATCCCAAGTGCAACCTGTTTGATTCAATGTTGTGTTCCCCATCTATTGTCCCTAAGCTAAAGACAAAGTGATAGTGGTATGAAAAAAACACAAGTTTCTTCTTGCACAAATAGAGTTTGCACTTATGGATTATCAGCAGAAGTTCTGATAATTGAATCATGAAATGAAATACAGTATGAAGAATGAGTTGGAACAAATTTATGGACTGAATGATTTTTACTACAAGTTGTAATCGTCTTCATGGATATACTTGAAGGCTTTCAGCTCGCGACGTGGAATATGGAGTCATTGCACTTCTTGAACCATTTGTTCAATCAAATGACTTTTTATGTTTCAAAGCAACTTGAGATGACCTATGATGCACTCTCCTTATTCATTCTCGATAAACTAAAGGTTGGAATGGAACAAGCCATCATAATACAAAGGGCCATTTTTAGACGTGTCTTTTTAGTTGGGAGAGATGTATACATTGACGCCATTCAAAATTTGTTGTTGTCCGTTGGATATCCTTTGCCTTAGTGGGAATATTTCCTTTTTTATGATTCATTCATCGAGTTACACATACCCTCGAGAAGCGAGTAGATGTTCTCGGACTTTTAACTTATTTGATCATTCTTATTTGATTACTCTATAAAGGGAAGAAAGGAGAAAATGGTTCAATTTATTCCATGTATAAGTTTTTTTTGGCCTTATCCATCAAAGATAGAGATTAAATTAAATTATTCAATCTAATCTAATCTAATTATAAATTATAATCAATCTAATTATGCCTTGTATAAATCTAATCTTGTGTATACATTTAACTTTCCTTACCATTGTAGGCTTTAGATTCTTTTGTGATCTATATATATATATATATATATATATATATATATATATATATTCATCACTTGTAAATTTCAATTCATCAAATATACAAACCCTTACATGGTAATTAGAGCTAAGTAGAATTTCTCCACTTTTTTTCCACTCTCTCACAAACCGGATATCCTCTCGTGGCTCTGTCTTCCACCACCAACAATCTCGTCCATCTCAATGCACTAACAAATTTTCCAATCAAACTTACATCTGCCAACTTTCCTATTTGGCGTTGACAAGTGGAGGCCACTCTCATTGGTTTTGGGCTCATCGATTATATTAATGGTTTGTAGCCTTCCCCATATCAGTTTACCAATATTGCAGCAAAAGTTGCTAATCCTAAATATCTACAATGGTCGTCAGGATCAAATTCTTATCAATAATATTCTTATCAGTTGTGATGATCTAGTCTAACATCTCATTTCATCTGATGTCACCGCTAAAATGGCGTGGAATACTCTAGTTGAAATTTATGTTCATGCTTCTCGTGGTCGTATTGTTTCCCTTAAATACAAGCTAGCTCACAATCCACATGGTTCTAGATCTATCTCCAATTAGATGAAAGATATTCGAGATACTGCCTCTGATCTTGCCTTTGCAAATTGTCCTGTCTTTGATACAAATATGATGATTTCTGTTGTCAATCAATTAGGCAATGATTATCGTCCAATAGTTGATGCTCTTCGTGTACATAACACACCAACCACAATGCTTGAGTTGTCTGAGATCTTAATTGACCATGAACATCTTATCCAAGAACCTGAGCAAACAAAAGTTTTTGCCACAACAAATTCTATATAATGAGCTAGTTAGACTCATGGTTATTTGGTCAACCACTCTCGAGGGAATGATGGAAGCCATTCTATACGGTATAATATTATGTGTAAGTTTTGTAATTTGTCAGGGCATATTGTTTAGGATTATCATAAGCTTGACCAATTCCTTCACAACAATAACTGATAGGGAAGTGGTGGTGGGTTAATGAACGCTGTTTTTGTTGAAGAATCAAACCTAGAAAGCTCTAGATTCGATGAAGAACAAAGGGGAATGAATAGGGGAAGGTGGCGGCAACAACTAGGGTCTTTTAGAGTTTCTTTGACGAGCTTGAAACAAGGTAAGAAACAAGATTAGAACAAGATAAAAAAATATAAAGAAATTGAGAATAAAGTATGACAACCAAGAAATAGAAAGATCTCCCTTATGAAGGTGAATGGTAAAGATGATGATGGTGAGGATGGATTTGTAGAAAATAGATGGATAAGTGCCCTATCAAACCCTCCTAGTCTCAATGAAAAGACAAACTCGATAATATGGCTCTAACCAACCCTCCTAGTCGTGATAAAAAGGCAAATTGGACTGTGAAGATTAATCTCTCTCAAAAGAACTTGAAAGAACCCTAAGAGAAGAAGCTTCAAAGGCACATGGCAATCAACACTTGTAAAAATGAACTCTCGTTGTTTTATTAATCAAACAAATCTCTTTTACAAACTTTAATGAAGCCTCCTTTATATAGGGGATGAGTTCTAAAGGTCCTAAATAACTAATGAATAAAATAATAACAAACTAAACATGTCTTAACTCTAATTCCTAATAATAATAAACTAAGAATAACGTTTTAAACCAACCTTAATTTATAGTAAAATAATAAATATAATACTAAAAGATAATGCATCATCCTATATTAAATTATATTACAAATAATCAATAAAAATATTAAAACTCGTAATATTTACAAAATCCCGTATTAATCCCGTATAGGATTTTCTGCATGCACTGTTTTCACTAAAATGACCATATCTTGAGTTCCCAATATCGGATTGATGCAATTCAAGAACCGTTGCAAATTTAAGAGAAATATGGTCGTATCTACAGAAGACATGTTGAAAAAATAAGATAAGGATCCCATTCAAAAAGTCATCGTAAGTCTGCTTCTGTTCTGGTCTTCTTTTCTAAGGCTTAGACGAGTGGATCATTTGGAAGAGTTATTACTTCTTCCTTTGATGTGAGCCTTGTGATGTATGTATCAATAACTTTTATCAATAGTCAATGACTAATTCACCAGTTATCAATGTGTCTTCTACTTGTCCATTATCTGAACATGCTCATTAGATGTTTGATAGTGGTGCTTCACATCATACCACAAGGATTACTACAAATCTTGAGGATCTCCCCGCTTATAATGGTCCTTATTCAGTTCAACTGGGTAATGGTTATTCTCTACCTATATCTCATATTATTCGATGCATAGTTCCTATAAGCCTCTCTCTCACAAATGTCTTATGTGTTCCTTAGTTACATACAAACTTAGCGTCGGTTTCTCAATAATGCCAGACTAATTATGTATCTGTTGAATTCTTTGACTTACATTTTGTTGTTAAGGATCAACCCAAAGGAACTTCTCTTCTTCGGGGTAATAAAATTGATGGTGATGTAATCTTACTTCTACACCTTATACTTTTCATATTTATGTCTTCAAGTGTGGAACTCATCAAGGACCAGTGAGTTTTCACTATCTTCTTCTTACATTTCTTTAAGTATTTTCATCCATATAACATGAACTCATACTAGGCTTTGCATCCATGTTTTGACATATTAAACATGTTGTTAGAATACTTCCATATGAGATTCATGTTGTAAGAATAATTCATCTTAGAACATACTTAGTTGAATTTATAACTCTTATACTTTATATATTGATATATAAAGACTAGCATACTTTACTTAGCATTTAACATGCATTTCACATCTTTACTTAGTCTATTTTATGATTGTGCATCATATTTTAGGTCATTTCATTCAAATATATTGTATCTTAGCTCATTTTATAGCTCATACCTAGTTAATCACATGCATAACATTCATTTACATATGTTTCACAACTCATTCTAATGTTTTTCATGGACTTTATAGGAACTAAAGACATTTGGGAACCTTTTCCCAGCTCATTGGAAGCTTACTCATCTTTTGACAACTTACACAAACTCAATATGAACTTAAGGTAGCTCAATACAGCTCATATTAGCTCATTGAACCAAGAAGGTAGCTGACATTACCTAGATGGTAGTTGAGGACCCAAGGCAACTGAAGGTAGCTGGAGTGACATTAGGTGCCTAGCTGAGCTACTTTCTCACCTAGCTAGCTTACTTCACTAGCCACTTATGTTATCTTAAAAGAACCACACACATCATGTGTAAGTCATATGGCCGAGGATGCATCATAACAAGATATGGAAGAGCACATTCAATCAAGGTCATGTGTTTTCATTAAAATGGCATGTGACTCCATTTTGAATTCAAATAAGACATCCTACAACTATTTATTTGGATTGCAACTATGTGGAGGTTTCTCACCATTCGGCCAAGCACTCGCCACCATTAATTTGGGTACCAAAGTTGAAGAGAAACACACCCATTCGGCCAAGACTCTCTCGACCACTTATTTGAATGATTTAAGGGCCAAAAAAAAACATCACCATTTGGCCAAGAGAATGACAAGCCTAGCCGAAGCAATGCCATTACTTTTCTTCATCCTAGAATTGTAATTTTTCATTTCAAGCATTGTATTCATCCAAAGAAGTGCCTTACAAAGAAGTGCCTAGACAAATCATTACTTGTCTATTCTACCTAGTCTCTTCATTTCCTATAAATTGCCAATGCCTTGGCATTGGTAAGGAATCCCTTTTTGAATTATCAAATATACGTGTGCGGTTTTCCTATTTTTTAAGTTCTGTTGAACTTTATCGACTTATCAAGTTCCTTTGGATCTTGTGGCACCAACCCCCTTCTCCATTAATACTTTAGGTCATTTTTATTCAAGATATCAAAGTGGTCAAATTCCTACATTACCACCCCTTGTTAAATTTTTAAATATTGGTGTTAGGATTTAATATAGTCTAGTTTCTTCCTTTAATTGTCCAAGATACCTTCAACCCTTCCATCTTCATTCTTAAGACCATCACCACCCAAATACTTTCACAGCCATTCTCTCTTACATTCAACACAAACAACCCACCATTTCACCTTAACATCAACTACCAAGCCCTCCATTTGAGCCCATCTTCTTATAGGTACTTACTCATTCACTAGATTCACAATCAAGGGTAATCTACCCTACATCAAGTAGTTTCAGAGCTTTGGGTGAAGAGTCAACGTACAATAAGAATCCCTACAAAAAGAAAGTACATCAATATCAATTGGTGCAAATGACCAAGAAGACATAAAAAAGAAGTTCAACATCGAAGTGAATGGCATGTAAAGTGAAACATCATCAAAGAAAAAAATAAGAAAGGGTTGCATTTCAAAATTAAGGTTATAATCACAAGGCAAGTTCAAGAACCCATTTCTTTCTTATTTCTAGCCACCATTTCATTATATTTTGTTTATCTTACTCTAACCTCTTTATAACCAATATTATTATAGACCAAGACTTGAAAAAGTTTTGAGTTAAGTTCTTTCATTTGCACAAGAGGAAGAGTGGAAAAAAGGCAATAAAGTGGGAAAGATCAGAAGATGATTGAAAAAGCCATTTATGTCTTGACTGCAAGCACGAGAGTTGAGAGCATATTTAATAGTCATAATCCAAAAAAATACAAAAACACGGAGTACAGTTTTAATTGTGTGTCATCTGTAAAAGTCGTCTTTTAATTTTTTCCCTTTTATTTTCATCATTTCCCGCTTCTTCCCTGACATACATGTGTGTCCAAATCTCTCATCTCAAAAAATAAAAAATCTCCCAAGAAAAAATAGAATCGAATCTCTTATGAATCATTTGTTTTCTCAACGGCGGAGGAGGCCGACGGAGGTTCATCGTCGGATAGAGGAGGAGGAGGAGAGATCAGAAGAGCAGTAGGATCAGGCTCGATGGATTCATTGGAATCTCGTTGGGTGTTCCCAGGCGAAGACGAATCTGAGATCGAGGACGAGGAAGATAATACAGATGTGTCGTATGGAGCTGGAGTAGATTCCGAAGACGAGGATAATTCGGTGCAGCGTTTGATTCGCACCGAACCGCTCGTTGATTCTTTCGACGTTGAAGCTCTCGAAGTCCATGGCGTGCATAGAAGTGACTACGAGGTATATTGTTCTTGTTTCATGATGCTAATGCAATAAATCAGTCCTCTGTTTGTAATCTTGAAAAATCGAATTTGTTTGGAATCTAACTTTATCGCGTTGAGGCATACCTTTTTTTAATGTGCTTTAATTTTGTAGCTTACTTTTATTTGTATACTTGACTTTTGATCTCAGGACTTGGTTATAGGAAGGATAATAATACATGCGTTTCATACTCTTGGTGTTGTATTTGGTGATGTTGGAACGAGTCCTTTATATACGTTTAGTGTGATGTTTGCAAGGCACCTATCAACGGAGATGAAGATGTTATTGGAGAACTATCACTGGTTCTATACACTCTTCTCGTGATTCCGCTTGTCAAATATGTCCTTATTGTTCTTTGTGCTAATGATGATGGTGAAGGTATGCCAGATGTTCCTCAATCCCAATCAAGTCCTTGTTTATGATCTTTTATGTAGGCCTAAACGAATATGTTAAATATTAATTCCATGTCAACTGTTTGACATCTTTTGTTGTTGTATTTTATGATATTTCATTCTTTTATGTAGGCCTTAAACAAATATGTTAAGTATATATTCCTTGCCAACTGTTTTACATCATTTGTTGCTGTTTTTTTCTTGAAGGTAGTACTTTTGCATTTGTACTCATTGATTTCTCGGCATGCTAAGGTCAGTCTTTTCCCGAATCTGGTTCCATCAGATACCCGAATATCTGGCTTCATGCTAAAGGTGCCATCTCCTGAGCTCGAGAGATCACTTAAAATAAAGGAGAGACTAGAGACTTCATTGACTCTGAACAAACTTCTTCTGATGTTAGTGCTTGCTGGCATTTCTATGGTAATAGATGATGGGGTTGTTACCCCAGCAATGTCAGGTTTTTATGTGTTATTGTTCTTTCATCTCTTTTGTTTACGAAATCATGCAATGGTAGAATACAACATAACTGTTTTATTAAATATATTTTCATTTTTAATTTTTAGATGATAACTTTTTCATTTTTATTTGTAGTTATGTCTTCTGTTGGTGGTATGAAGGTTAGAGTTGGTGCAATTGAACAAAGTAAGCTGTTATTCCATGTTGTTGTAAACTCTATAAAACATTATTGCTTTGCTGACTCACATTTAACTGTTTGTTAGTAAATACTATTTGAGAGGACATTTCTATTTCTAATTGACCTTTTCGGCTAGGAATCTTTTGCATAATTTAACTTGTATGTTATTGAAAATTATTTGTTATTTTGAATATATCATGTGATGGTTATTAACCTATAGATCTCATAGTTTGATCATGAGTCTACAATTCTTCATTGTGTTTCTGCAGCTGCCTTTTTTGCGATCATGTGCTGTTTGTAATGATAGTTTAACTTTAGTCGGACTAGAGTTTCCAGTCTAGCTAAATGTTAAATCTGTATGTATTATAAAAAATATGGCCTTTTTTCTTTTGCCTTCCCTCCTTTACATCCTATGGTTTATGTTCCTTTATGATTTTCTATATTATTACATGTAAATAGTCATTAACTATCGTGTTTCCTTATTTCTTTTCTTTATTTGCAGATGAAGTGGTGATGATATCGGTTGCCTTTCTTGAAATTTTGTTCAGTGTACAGAAGTTTGGAACAATTCAGGTAGGACTTGTTGTAGGCCCTGCTTTGTTCATATGGTTTTGTTCTTTAGCAGGCATTGGAATTTACAATCTTGTTAAGCATGATGCAAGTGTCTTGAGGGCATTTAATCCTGTTCACGTCTATTTATACTTCAAGAGAAACCTAGCTATGCGCTTGGAGGTTGTCTTGTATGTGCAAAAGGTAAACACATTGATAAAAGATATCATGTGCTTTAAAACTTTCACTCCAGTTGCAAGTGTGGAGAGAGCTAGTAAAAGAATATCTTGATGTTGTAATCTAATTTTTACACTAATTTCCGGTTAAACTTTGTCAAGTAACCATCTTCTAGTAAAAGATCACTGAACTATTGACTTGATTCTAATTTTTACACTAATTTTTCTCTAGGGACTCGCAACTTGTAAAATCTAATCAGGTAACCACCTTCTTTTCTTTTATTATTTCTTGTGAATTTAGTGTTTCACCCCTTTGGACTTAAGTTTAGATATGGATTGAATAATTTCCAGACTTGCATGCATATTGCTTGTTCAGGATGCAATGAGAAACATATTAATCGTATTTGCCAAGTTAAATCCGGGCATAAGATATGTTCAAGGAATGAATGAAATCTTGGCACCTCTATTTTATGTATTCAAGAATGACCCTGATGCAGAAATGGCGGTAAGATCTCATTATTGTCCCCACCTAGTTCTTTTTTATTAAATCTCTAACATGCGATTATTTTGATTTTCATGTATTGAATAAGAAAGAAGGTTTCCATGATTTTCTTGTTTCTGTTTGCAACTCCATTGCATCAAATCCATCCCTTTTCTTGCCCCAAGATGCCCAAAAAGTTTAAACAAAAACAATAACTTTCAAATAGATTACAGCTTTTGAAAAACAATATGGTAATGTTCATTTATCATTATTGTTATCAACTTGGCGGACATATATATATATTATATGCACCAAATATGGAGTATCTATGCCAACATATAGCCATAAACCAATTATAATTTCAGTAAAAATAACATGAAGCCGACACATTCTTTTGTTTTGTTAAGTTATTGAGTGGATTCCGTGATCATTTTTGCCAGTAACTTGACAACAACAATGTGGGAATTCGTTCCACAATTTCTAGGTTGTCACAACTTCTGAAGGAACATGATGAAGAGCTTTGGCGTCATCTAGAGATCACAAATAAAGTAAGATATTGTTGCAAAATTTAAACATCTTTTATATCTTGACTCATGCTTGCCTCTTACCTGCAAATTTTGAACACTTTCACCTTTGTCGTTTTCCGCAGCTTGTCAAGGTAATTAGTTGGGCTTGAATGCTAACTGTTGTGTTTAAATATCACACAGGTCAACCTCTAGTTTTACGCATTCAGGTGGATTACTTTGCTCTTGACACAGGAATTTAACTTTGCGGACAGTCTCCACATATGGGGCACGCTTCTTAGTGACCCTGAAGGCCCTCTGGTATGATTGCAATTTTTATCTCACTATATTATCTAGAACTTTTCTCTAATATTAGGGGAGGTGATTAGGGATGAAAACAACGTGGATCGGGTCAAAATTTTTATCGTCCTGGCCCAGACCCAAAAGTTAGGAGTTTTCTCCCAACCCCGATATCAGTAGATTTTAATCTAACCTATCACTCAACAACCCTAAAATTTTAAATAAAAAGCCCAAACCTCTATGTCCCAACCCCAAAAAAATTAATACAAACTTTAAATATGTTGTATAAAATTAATTATAAAAGAAAAAATATGTATTCTTTTTCTTTTTTCAATCAAATAGTGGCGTTGAGCGATTCAAATGACAATTTGCGCATTTGGAGGAGCATTATGGTAAAGGTGAAAGAAGTACTCCACTTCTAAGACATCATGCTTCTTTGCCTAGGTATGTTTCATAAAATTTTAGGAATCATGTTAGTTCCATAATTTCTCCCCCAAACTTAGTCTGTCTAGTTCATGTGTCATATTTCAATTTTCTTGAATATCGTCTTTACAGAGAGAGAGTTCCTGCTCTCAAGGATGAGAATGATCAAGTTGATGGTGAGAATAACACTGCTTTAATAACATAATATGGTTCAGAAAGCACTAGTGCTTCAATGACACAATATGGTTCTGAAATACAAGTTGCAAAATAACTGGAAGCTTGGATATGGTATCTGGCTACTATTTGATCATTACCGCACTCCATTGGATCAGATACGCAGAAGGTATGAATTGAAACTTGGGAGAATTGTATTGCACTTAGTAGTTCTCTAACTTATCAAAGTTCAGCAGAATCTTAACTAGTTAACAAACTTAAAAGTATGCAATGAATATTCCAAGTTGTGTTCTCTTTGCTAGGTAGACAAGGTGTGAATTTGTCTGTTGTCGGCTTCACACCACATAAGATGTACAAGTATGGAGAAAATGGTGAAACTGATGATATGTTGGAATACCATGCTACTTTTGATTTTTCACAAGACTCCCCTTTAGTAGAACTTGATGATGATTTCTTGTGTAAACGCCCGGATGGCGAGGGCATATTTGTAGAGCTTTATTATGACGTGGTATTTTGTATCGACATATGATTACAATAATTTTTATAACTTAATGTGAATATATTGTATGCAAATGGATTGCTTATATATAATATGATATATATATTTAGTATTATGAGGCATTAAATGTGATTTAGTTTAATTATTTGTGAATCTAATATATATATATATATATATATATATATATATAATTTACGAAATACAATCATATCCCCTGAATGTGTGTCATCTTTTTTAATGACAGGAGCTTCAATGACGCTCATTGTAAGTCATACATGCGTGTCATAAATGTATGACACACAAATATGTGTCATCTTAATTTATGACGGGGGCTTCAATGACGCTCAATGCGCGTCATAAATGCGTGTCATAAATGTGTGTCATAAATGCGCGTCATAGATTTATGACACACAATTGCGCGTCATAAAAAATTCATGTCGGTGGCTTCAACGACAGGCATTTGTGTGTCATCCGCACCCATAGATGACGTGTAATGCGCGTCATGAAAGGGGTTTTTTCTGCTAGTGTTTAGAGGATATCGTGCATGAAAAAAAGAGAGAAAAAGATTTTTATATTGTGAAGATGGCATATTAGACCCTTCTTATGAAGAACAAGTTCAAGATGTCCAAGGATTTTGATTTGAGGATAAATCACATTAAAGAAGGGGGATGATGTGATCCTACTTCTACACCTTGTACTTTTCATATTTCTTTCTTCAAGTGTGGAACTCATCAAGGAGCAAATAGTTTTCACTATCTTCTTCCTACATTTCTTTAAGTATTTTCATCCACATAACATGAACTCATACTATGATTTGCATCCATGTTTTGACATTTAAAACATGTTGTTATAATACTTACATAAGAGATTTGAGCCCATTATAATTCATCTTAATACATAATTAATTGAATTCATAATTATTAAACTTTATATATTGATATATAGAGACTAGCATACTTTACTTAGCATTTCATATCTTTACTTAGTCTATTTTATGATTGTGCATCATATCTTAGCTCATGTCATTCATACACATTGTATCTTAGCTTATATTATGTATTTGAAGTCATTACTAGCTCATACCTAGTTAATCACATGCACAACATTCATTTGTATATGTTTCCCAACTCATTCTAATGTTTTTCATGGCCTTTGTAGAAACTAAAGACATTTGGGAACCTTTTGCCAGCTCATTAAAAGCTCACTCATCTTTTGGCAGCTCACACCATCTCAACATGAACTTAAGGTAGCTCACTACATCTCACATTAGCTCACATTAGCTCATGAAACCAAGAAGATGGTTGACATTAGTGGAAAGTAGCTGAGGTAGCTGAATAGTAGCTTGATGGTAGCTAAGGATTCAAGACATTTGAAGGTAGTTGGAGTGACGCTAGGTGCCTAGCTTAGCTACTCACTCACCTAGCTAGCTTGCTTCACTAGCCACCTATGTCATCTTAAAGGAACCACATGCATCATGTGCAAGTCATGGGCCGAGGATGCATTATAACAAGGCATGGAAGAGCACATTCAATCCATGTCATGTGTTTTCATTAAAATGGCATGTGATTTCATTTTGAATTAAAAAAGGCATCATATAACTACTCATTTGAGCAGAAAGTATGATGAGGTTTCTCACCATTCATCCAAGCACTCTCCACTATTCATTTGGGTGCCAAAGATGAAGAGTAACACACTCATTCAGTCAAGGCTATCTCCACCGCTTATTTGAATGATTCAAGGGCCAAAATAACATAACTATTCAGTCAAAAGAAGGACAAGCCTAGTCGAACCATTGCCATTACTTTTCATCATCCTAGCATTGTAATTTTTCATTTCATGCATAGTATTCATCCAAATAAGTGCCTACCCAAATCATTACTTGTCTATTCTGCCTAGTCTCTTCATTTCCTATAAATTGCCAATGCCTTGGCATTTGTAAGGCATCTCTCTTTGAATGATCAAACATACTTGTGAGGTTTTCCTCTTTCTTAAGTTTTTTTTTAACTTTTATCAACTTATCAAGTTCTTTTGGATCTTGTAGCATCAATCCCCTTCTTCATTGATACTTTAGGTCATTTTGATTCAAGATATCAAAGAGGTCAAAGTCTTATATTACCATCCCTTGTTCAATTTTTAAGGATTGGTGTTAGGCTTTAATATAGCCTAGTTTCTTCCTTTAATTGTACAATATATCTTGAACAATTTCATCTTCATTCTTAACCCCATCACCACACCCAAATACTTCCGCGTCCATTATCTCTTACATTCAACAAAAACAACCCATCATTTGACCTTAACATTAACTATCAAGCCCTCCATTTGAGCTCATCTTCTTGCAGGTACTTACTCATTCACTAGATTCACAATCAAGGGTAATCTACCCTACATCATATGGTGTCTACTATGCTCCATGATCTTTTCTTCCTCAATGCAGTTCACTTAGTTGATTGTCCGTGCATCAACTACATCACAAGTTGTTCCACCCGTCTGATAAAGTATTGGCATCTATATTATACACATATAATATACCTTATGACTTTGACAACTTGAAATAATTTCATTGTTCTTCATGTCTCATCAACAAAAGTCATAAATTTCCATTTGGTTAAAATGATATGGCAAGCTCTTACCCTCTTGAACTGCTGCATTATGATGTTTGGGGCACTAAACATGTGTCATATGATGGATAATCATATTATATGGTGTTTATTGATTAGTTCACTAAATATTGTTAGTTATACCCAATGAAGAATAAATCTTATATTGTAGCTAGTTTTCTTCAGTTTAAAAGGTTTGTTTTTTCAATCAGACCTTTGTGTCCATATTCTCTAATAATGAAGGTGAGTTTGTTAAGCTCTTGCTCATTTTGAGTTTAGAAGGAATTTCACATTTCACTTTGTTGCCTCATACTCCTAACCACAATGGGACAACTGAATGGAGACATTATCTTATAGTGGTGATTAGTCTTTCTCTATTTCACTTTGTATATCTTTTAACATAGTATTGGCCTCATGCTTTTCAAGCGACTATTTATCTCATCAACCAGATGCCAACACCAATATTGAATAATATGTCACTGTATTCCTTACTTTATAAACAATCACAAAACTATGATAAGCTTCAACCATTTGGATGCTTATGTTTTTCTTGGTTGTGACCATACATGGGTCATAAACTTGAACCACGGTTCGTTGAATGCATTTTCCTTGGATACTCCATGACGCAGTCTGTATATAAATGCTTATATCCATATATCAAAATGATTTATGTCTCTCGTCATGTTTGATTCATTCATCACGTTTTCCCATTTACTACACGGAGTGCAATCACTGCACTAAAGCATTAATCACCGATATTATTTCTTGCTACCTCAGCATCCCGTCCTTTAACTATATTGGTTAATATGCCACAACAAAATGATGAATCAGTTACAGTGCCAACACAATATCATGATG